TTATGTGAGAAATCTTTAAAGAATTCTGATAAAGAAAGAGATCTAGGAGTGGTTCTAGATAGAAAACTATCACCTGAGGACCACATAAAGAATATTGTGCAAGGAGCCTATGCTATGCTTTCTAACTTCAGAATTGCATTTAAATACATGGATGGCGATATACTAAAGAAATTGTTCATGACTTTTGTTAGGCCAAAGCTAGAATATGCAGCTGTTGTGTGGTGCCCATATCTTAAGAAGCACATCAACAAACTGGAAAAGGTGCAAAGACATGCTACTAAGTGGCTCCCAGAACTGAAGGGCAAGAGCTACGAGGAGAGGTTAGAAGCATTAAATATGCCAAAACTAGAAGACAGAAGAAAAAGAGGTGATATGATCACTACATACAAAATAGTAACAGGAATTGATAAAATCGACAGGGAAGACTTCCTGAGACCTGAAACTTCAAGAACAAGAGGTCATAGATTTAAACTAGCTAAACACAGATGCCGAAGAAATATAAGAAAATTCACCTTCGCAAATAGAGTGGTAGACGGTTGGAACAAGTTAAGTGAGAAGGTGGTGGAGGCCAAGACCGTCAGTAGTTTCAAAGCGTTATATGACAAAGAGTGCTGGGAAGACGGGACACCACGAGCGTAGCTCTCATCCTGTAACTACACTTAGGTAATTACACTTAGGTAATTACACACACACACGAAGACCCCCTCAATTATAGACCTGTATCATTGACAAGTGTAATAGTGAAAGTATTGGAAAAACTAATCAAAACTAAATGGGTAGAACACCTGGAGAGAAATGATATAATATTAGACAGACAGTATGGTTTTCAATCTGGAAGAGCCTGTGTATCGAATTTACTCAGTTTCTATGATCGAGTCACAGAGATATTACAGGAAAGAGATAGTTGGGTTGACTGCATCTATCTGGACCTAAAAAAGGCTTTCGAAAGAGTTACTCATAAGAGGTTATTCTGGAAACTGGAAAATATTGGAGGGGTGACAGGTAAGCTTCTAACATGGATGAAAAATTTTCCGACTGATAGAAAAATGAGGGCAGTAATCAGAGGCAATGTATCGGAATGGAGAAATGTCACAAGTGGAGTACCACAGGGTTCAGTTCTTGCACCAGTGATGTTTATTGTCAACATAAATGATCTACCAGTTGGTATACAGAATTATATGAACATGTTTGCTGATGATGCTAAGATAATAGGAAGGATAAGAAATTTAGATGACTGTCATGCCCTTCAAGAAGACCTGGACAAAATAAGTATATGGAGCACCACTTGGCAAATGGAATTTAATGTTAATAAATGTCATGTTATGGAATGTGGAATAGGAGAACATAGACCCAACACAACCTATATATTATGTGAGAAATCTTTAAAGAATTCTGATAAAGAGATAGATCTAGGGGTGGTTCTACATAGAAAACTGAGGACCACATAAAGAATATTGTGCAAGAAGCCTATGCTATGCTTTCTAATTTCAGAATTGCTTTTAAATACATGGATGGCGATATACTAAAGAAATTGTTCATGACTTTTGTTAGGCCAAAGCTAGAATATGCAGCTGTTGTGTGGTGCCCATATCTTAAGAAGCACAGCAACAAACTGGAAAAGGTGCAGAGACATGCTACTAAGTGGCTCCCAGAACTGAAGGGCAAGAGCTACGAGGAGAGGTTAGAGGCATTAAAAATGCCAAAACTAGAAGACAGAAGAAAAAGAGGTGATATGATCACTACGTACAAAATAATAACAGGAATTGATAAAATCGACAGGGAAGATTTCCTGAGACCTGGAACTTCAAGAACAAGAGGTCATAGCTTTAAACTAGCTAAACACAGATGCCGAAGAAATATAAGAAAATTCACCTTCGCAAATAGAGTGGAAGACGGTTGGAACAAGTTAAGTGAGAAGGTGGTGGAGGCCAAGACCGTCACAAGTTTCAAAGCGTTATATGACAAAGAGAGCTGGGAAGACGGGACACCACGAGCGTAGCTCTCATCCTGTAACTACACTTAGGTAATTACACATGTGCATGTACATGCACATGTGTACACACACACATACACGTGAAAAGAAAATTACAAGCCGCCAACCAGTGGGCAGAGAGCACCACGCCGGCCAGGCGAAGAAGGCAGAAAACTGCATCAAAAGGCCCACCTCAACGACAAAACCCCAACGTCCCAGCAAGACCACAACACGTGGCAAGACCCAAAAAGATCAGTCTGCAAGCCAAGAAGACCCTGGAACCCCAGAAGGCAGAACCGGGTCACACACGAGGAAACAAAGCCCCTTGAACCCACGAAGGGGGCCCAAGAGGAGGAAACCTCCGGAACGAAACCAAAGAACCCAAAGGAACCCGGAATCGAACCAGGAGGAGCCAAACCACCACATTTGCCAGCGGAGATACACCACAGAAAGGCAAAGCACAGCCCTAGACAGAACCCACAGGGAAATGGTCAAAACAGACCGAAAACCCGAGGGACATGGTGTGGGAGCAAGCATAACAGCCAGGGACACTGAGCCCAAACCCTAGGGCCCAGACCCAAAACAGAAAACGGAAAACCCAGTGTAAAATCAACACTCAGTCGTTCTCAGAGGAACAGGAAGCGGGCAGAAAACACCAGAAAAACAAAGAAACGACAACAGGAGAATAAAACCCCTGAAAGGAGGTGAAAAACTCACCCAAGATGCTCGCTTGCACACCCAGGCGCATGTAAACAAACCGCAATGCCGCCCTGGTGGCCACGCTGGGAAACCGGCAGAAGAAAATGGCCACCAGAACAGAGGACTGCGACAGACGCAAAAGATACGAAAACACGCCAGCAAAAGTGGGAAGCAAGCAGAATGGATGGGCGAAAACTCAGCCCAGAAGCAGAAAACCCAAACAGGGGCAAACTGCCCCAGAACTGCTAGCAGGCATCCCCCACAGCCCCGGGAACCCGCAATAGAGGCCCCGGGGCAGAGCCATCCTCCAAGCCCTCCGCCCTTAAAGAAAAGGAAGAGTCCAGGCGAAAGGCAGCAAGAAAGGGCCGCTGGTAAGACCCAGAAGGCTTGGCAGGGGAAACAGGCTCGAAAACCTCCGTCCCCAACGCAAAAGGGGCAGCCCCCGAAAACCACCCGCGTCTCGGCCCCAACTAAACACCGCCCCGAACCCGAAACCCGCAGACGGTCCGGAGCCAGGAACAGGGAGGGAAAGGGGCGAACAGCACCTAACCAAAACGAGGTGGCCTCGGGGCATCCGAATGGGAAACCAACCTAGCGTTTTGCAGCAACTTAACCTAGCTTGCAACACGGAAGCTGCCTGTACTCTGAACAGTAATAACATCAGGAGACTACTGGAGAACAAGCAGAGAATCTCTATCGCAAGACTCTGGGTTAAGGTGTCAGTGACCCAACAGGCAGCATGACGGAGGTAAAAGTAGCGACTGTCACCTGGAGACAAGGGCACAGCAACCAATGATCCCATACAAGACGGGTTGGGACCCAGAAGACACATTCAATGGTTCACTGAGCCCCGACAGGGGTTTCCAGGGCCCGCAGGGTAACAACTACGGGAAGCCCGGGCAAGGTCTTACTAACAGGTTAAACACCCAAAAATAACAAGGGGTAGGTAGAGGACAACACTGAAAACCCCTGTGACGTGTACAATCACGGGGGCCTAGGAGAGGGCCACCAAACACTACCAGTGGAATTATAGCCACACTAGACAGATCCCCACCAGGCAAATGAAAATAAAAACAAAAGAAAAACCCTGCAGAATTACACTGTCTCCAGAGGCAACAGGAACCGGTCGCCGCTTAGGTGGCAGGTCGTGCAACACCTTGCTGCCCTAACCAGCACAATACCAGTCCCTACCCTAGGGCCAAACAAGGGCCCCAAGTCCCAGCTGGCCCCAAGGGCGAGGCAAATGCCGAGCAGCAAGAACCTCTACAGGAATGGTTCCCGAACGCCTCAGGGAAGATAACCCTGTTACACAGGGGCAGTACTCACAGGGTGCTTAGGGAAGGAAGCCCCTAAGCGCATGCAGCTCCAGTACTGATGAGGTACTCCTGGCCACCGCACAACACACGGCAGTGAACGCCACACAAGGTAAACACCACCTAGGAAACTGAGGCCAGAGAAGCGTCTATCCCGGTTGACATTAGCTTACGAACTGATGCTAGGCACCCCGCACGTTAGGTCCGGGGCTACCCCCTCCACCTCTCTCGGGGTGGGGAGGGCTGTGCGGACGATCGGTACGGCAGTAAAATGTGATGTTTGCTTGTTTCCTTGGGATTGTAGGGAGTTTCTACCTCTCTGTTCGGTTTTTGTTTTAGTTTTTTTACCATGTGGGGTTTGTTTTGTTATGCCTACCTTTCTGGGTGCAAACACCAGTCGATGGCAGATAAGGAAAACCCCAACCACAAGGGGGTTTTCCAGGGCCATTGCTCCCTGAAACCTCTCTGAAGGGGCCAGGTTCTGGCGCTGGTCCCTGGTAGGTCTGAACTCCTTAGTTATGTCCCAGTCTAATATAACATACATTAGCCCGATAAGCTCCAGGGAGCAGTAGGGGCTCCCCACAGAAAAGTTAATTATGTAGGCTTCATTGTGTAATCCAAAGCAAATCTTCATAGTTTCTAATGGATGGTTAAAAATTAGAAAAAATTTATGGTACTGGTCTATCATACCATCAGTGATTATTTCAAATGTTAGTGGAGATGTGTATTGGAGATGTTTTGTTTATCCAAATGTAGTAAAAAAAGCAGAAGCAAATGTTTGAGTAATTTTAGTGGGTTTTGTGATCATGATTTGCTCAAACTCTGTACTCTTCTCTCTTAATTCAGAATACAAGTGCATTTTAATTAATAAATTAATACAAAATTCTAATTTTTCCCCCATTCACATAATTTCTCGATCAAATTTTGTATTCATCCATGAACATTAACTACAGTAAATATTACATTTTTCATCTAAGGTTAAACCATATAATAATATATTTTCTTTATCAACTGACCAGTCTTAAAGTCATGTATCACCCTGTAAGACTCAATGGTAATATCTGTGAGCCCTGGAATGTTGAGGAGGAACATGCCATCAGAATGCAAGTGTGGCAGGCAGGTGAATGACACCAACTTCTCCTCGGATTCGTAGTTCTGCGACTCGTAGGCAATCGTTCCCAAATTCTGAAACAAGAAAACACTGTAAAAGTCAGTAAAACAAAACAATTAATACACAACAAAAGTTTTATGAGTTCACGTATAAAATGCTTAATAACTTATATCTCATGCTATGATGAAAAGCTGATGCATGAATATGGTTTCATTATGGTCTCACAGTTTACTTGGCCTTGTTCATCACTCACAATCAGGGATCCGGGGTTAGTTTCCAATGTGGGATAAAATGGTTGGACACACTTCCTTTCACGTAATGCCTCTGTTCGCCTAACAGTAAATACATATCCAGGAGATAGTTAACTGTTGTAATTACCTAAGTGTAGTTACAGGATGAGAGCTACACTCGTGGTGTCCCGTCTTCCCAGCACTCTTTGTCATATAACGCTTTGAAACTACTGACGGTCTTGGCCTCCACCACCTTCTCACTTAACTTGTTTCAACCGTCTACCACTCTGTTTGCGAAAGTGAATTTTCTTATATTTCTTCGGAAACTGTGTTTAGCTAGTTTATATCTATGACCTCTTGTTTTTAAACTTCCAGGTCTCAGGAAATCTTCCCTGTCGATTTTATCAATTCCTGTTACTATTTTGTATGTAGTGATCATATCACCTTTTTTTCTGTCTTCTAGTTTTGGCATATTTAATGCCTCTAACCTCTCCTCGTAGCTCTTGCCCTTCAGTTCTGGGAGCCACTTAGTAGCATGTCATTGCACCTTTTCCAGTTTGTTGATGTGCTTCTTAAGATATGGGCATCACACAACTGCTGCATATTCTAGCTTTGGCTTAACAAAAGTCGTGAACAATTTCTTTAGTATATCGCCATCCATGTATTTAAAAGCAATTCTGAAGTTAGAAAGCGTGGCATAGGCTCCTCGCACAATATTCTTTATGTGGTCCTTTATTTGTGTGTTGCATCCTGGGGAAGGTCAAGAGTCTGACCTCGTAGGAAATCTCGATAAAAGTGTGTGTGTAATTACCTACCTGTTGACTAGCTGTTGATGATTTCAAGGATCAACATCACCGTGACTCAGTATGTGACCAGGCTTCCTGGTTGCTAGTCTGACCAACCAGGCAGTTCAATGTGGCTGCTCACAGTCTGACATACGAGTCACAGCCTGGTTATGTATCCTTTGAAGGTGATTGTCAAGTTCTCTTTTGAACACTGTGAGAGGTCGGCCAATTAGGTCTGATACATGAAGGGGTGTTAAAGATTTGCGCCTTTGATGTTGATCAAGTTTTCTGTCAGCATGCATTTTGCACCTCTGCTTTTCAATGGTGCTATTCTGCACATCCTTCCATGCCCTTTTTCTGTGGAGAGCCCCTAAGGCTCCCTGGAGCTTATCGGGCTAATGTATGTTATATTAGACCGGGACATTAGCTAAGGAGTTCAGACCAACAATGCAGGGACCAGCGCCAGAACCTGGCCCCTTCAGAGAGGTTTCAGGGAGCAATGGCCCTGGAAAACTCCCTTGTGGTTGGGGTTTTCCTTATCTGCCATCGACCGGGGTTAGGCACCCAGAAAGGTAGGCATAACAAAACAAACCCCACATGGTAAAAAAACTAAAACAAAAAACCGAACAGAGAGGTAGAAACTCCCTACAATCCCAAGGAAACAAGCAAACAAGCAAACATCACACTTCACTGCCGCGCCGATTGTCCGCGCAGCCCTCCCCGCCCCGAGAGGTAGAGGGGGAAGCCCCGGACCTCACCGCGCCGGCTGCCTAGCATCAGTTCGTAAGCTAATGTCAACCGGGATAGACGCTTCTCTGGCCTCAGTTTATTAGGCAGTGTAGCCTTGTGTAGCGTTTACTGCCATGTGTTGTGTTGTGCGGTGGCCAGGTGTTTCTCATCAGTACCGGGGCTGCATGCACTTAGGGGCTTCCTTCCCTAAGAGCCCTGTAAGTACTGCCCCTGCATGATAGGGTTATCTTCCGCTGGGGCGTTCGGGAACCATTCCCGTAGAGGTTCTTGCTGCTCGGCATTTGCCTCGCCCTTGGGGCCAGCTGGGGTTTGGGGCCCTTGTTTGGCCCTGATTACAGACTGATATTGTGCTGGTTAGGGCGTCAAGGTGTTGCACGACCTGCCACCTAAGCGGCAACCGGTTCCTGTTGCCTCTGGAGATGGTGTACTTTTTGGGGGTTTTCTTTTGTTTTTATTTTCATTTGCCTGGTGGGGGGTCTGCCTAATGTGGCTATAGTTCCACTGGTAGTGTTTGGTGGCCCTCTCCTAGGACTACGTGATTGTACACGTCGCAGGGGTTTTCAGTGTTGTCCTCTACCACCTTGTTATTTTTGGGTTTTAACCGGTTAGCAACACCTTGCCCGGGCTTCCCGTAGCAGTCAGCCTACGGGCCCTGGAAACCCATCTGGGCTCGATGGACCATTGAATGTGTCTTCCGGGTTCCAACCCATCTTGTACGGGATCTTTGGTTGCTGTGCCCTTGTCTCCGGGTGACAGTCGCCACTTTTACCTCCGTCATGTTGCCTGTTGGGTCACTGACACCTTGACCCGGAGTCTTGTGAGAGATATTCTCTGCTTGTTCTCCAGTACTCTCCTGATGTTATTACTGTTCAGAGTACAGGTGGCATCCGTGTTGCAAGCTAGGTTAGGTTTCTGCAACACGTTAGGTTTGTTTCCCTCTCGGATGCCCCGAGGCCGCCCCGTTTTGGTTAGGTGCTGTTCGCCCCTTTCCCTCCCTGTTCCCGGTTCCGGACCGTCTGCGGGTTTCGGGGTCAGGGCGGGGTTTAGTTGGGGCCGAGACTTGGGCAGTTTTGGGGGCTGCCCTGTTCGGGTTGGGGATGGACGTTTTCGAGCCTGTTCCTCCTGCCAAGATTTCTGGGTCTTACCAGCGGCCCTTTCTTGCTGCCTTTCCCCTGGACCCTTCCTTTTCTTTAAGGGCTGAGGGCGTGGAGGACATTTCTGCCCTGGGGCCTCTGTTGCAGGTTCCTGGGGCTGTGGGGGATGCCTGCTAACAGTTCTGGGGCTGTTTGCCCCTGCCTGGGTTTTCTGCTTCTGGGCGGAGTTTCTTGCCCATCCAGTCTGCTTGCTTCCCACTTTTGCTGGCGTGTTTTCGTATCTCTTGCGTCGATCACAGTCCTCTGTTCTGGTGGCCATTTTCTTCTGTCAGTTTCCCGGCATGGCCACCAGGGCGGTGTTGCGGTTTGTTACATGCCCCAAGATGTGCGAGCGAACATCTTGGGTGAGTTTTTCCCCTTTTTCAGGGGTTTTATTCTCCTGTTGTCGTTTCTTTGCTTTTCTGGTGTTTTCTGCCCCTCTTCTGTTCCTCTGGGAACGTTTGAGTGTTGATTTTTCCACTGGGTTTTCCGTTTTGTCTGTTTTGGGTCTGGCCCCAAGGGTTTGGACTCAGTGTCCCTGTCTGTTTTTAAGCTAGCTCCCACACCTTGTCCCTCGGTTTTCAGTCTGTTTTGACCGTTTCCATGGGGGTTCTGTCTGGGGCTGTGCTTTGCCTTTCTGTGGTGTATCTCCGCTGGCAAATGTGGCAGTTTGGGCTTCCCCAGGTTCGATTATGGGTTCCTTTGGGTACTTTGGTTTCGTTCTGGAGGTTTCCTCCTCTTGGGCCCCCTTTGTGGGTTCCAGGGGCTGTGTTTCCTCGTGTGTGACCCGGTTGTGCCTTCTGGGGTTTCAGGGTCTTTGTGGCTTGCAGGCTGATCTTTTTGGGTCTTCGTGGATTGCAGGTTGATCTTTTTGGGTCTTGGCATGTGTCGTGGTCATGCCGGGACCTAGGGCTTTTGTTGTCGAGGTGGGTCTTTTGGTGCAGTTTTTGTGCTGTCTTGGTGCCTTCTTCGTCTGGCCGGCGTGGTGCTCTCTGCCCACCGATCGACGGCTTGTCTTTTCTTTTCTTTATTTTTCAATTTTATTTACATATATGTATGTGTTTTTATACATTTTGTGACTATGTATATATGTGTATATATGTATATCTACGTACATGTATGTATGTGTGTGTGTTTATTATATATATTTTCTTTCGGAAGGGGTTCCGTTCCCTTCGCTGTTGATGGGGCCCTGGGGGAGCAGCTTGCTCTGTTGGCTCTCGCTTGTGGTTGTCTTCCGGCCTTTTGTGGTGTCCGGCTGCTTCTCTCTCTTTGGGGGGTTCGGGGCTGGCAGGGTGGGCTTCTTTCCCTGCGCTTCTTTATGTCATCTTGGTGTAGGTGCGTTTGGACGTGGTCGTTCCGCCCCATCCCTCTGAGGTTCCCGTCTGTTACAGTGCAGACATGGGCCTTGCGGTTCTTCTGGATTTATGCAGTCTGCACCCTGGATTCTTTGCCCTCTTCGTTAGACTGTTGTCTTTGGTCCGGCTTCTGTTGGGGCCGGGTGCCTGGATGGTGTCCCTGGACTTCCGGGTCACTTCTTGGCACATTCCTCTCCAGGGTTCCGGGGCTGGCACAGTTGGTGGTGGGGCTTCAGGCTTGCTGCTTTTGTTGCCTTCCCTAGTTTGTAATTGGCACTTAGTGTATTTACGCATCATTACCGGATTTTGGTGACCTGTCTGCGTCTGCTCGGATTCGGTTTCTGGCCTACCTCGATGACTGGCTGGTGTGGGCTCCCAGTCAGTCCGATTGTCTGCTCACCAGGGGTGTGGTTCTTTCCAGATCACCGGGTTCGGATTCCTGATGATCTGGAGGCCACTCCATTTGGTTCCGTCCCAGGTTCGGACCTTGGTGGGTCTTGTTTAGGGTTCTTGGACTGCTTTGTTTAGGGTTCTTGGACTGACTGGTTCAACCTTCTCCTCGGCTCTTCTCGTCTGTTCTGCTGGCGCGGGTGTATCACCATAAAGATGGTGATCAGGTGTCTTAGATGATGGTGTCCCACCTGTGAGCTTTCTCTCAGCGAAAGTATGACGTTCCTGGAATTTCTATTTGCCATTTTCTTGCTCTTCGTATGTTGTCTTCTCTTTTGCATCGGGTTGTCTTGTCCTTTTAAGGTTTTCAGGACTGTTAATTGATGCTTCATACTGTCGCCTCGTATTGTGCAGTGCTGGCGGAGCCT